TTTTAAGTAGTTCAAACTAAAATTAAATACCAGAATGCGCTATCGGTTATATCCCACAGGCATTCTTCACCTGTAACTCTCAACTCTCTCCTTATTTTCTTCTTTATTTCGCTACATCCTTTTGTATGTAAATCTTTCCATATTATTATACATAGTGAATAAAGATTGTACATTACACGCATTTAATAATTTATTATATCGTGACTAAACTAAAAGTTATTTTAACAGTTAAAGACTACTATTACTTACACAAACTTTTATTAATGAAAGACATGTTTGGCCCCTTGGGCTGCCCTGTCAACGCGGAACATTTGCCTCGTAATTTTGTCATCGGCATCGTTCTATTACAATGAACGGTATTTTTCTGGTATGACAAATTTAAATTGAACTACTTAAAATATATTGAGGAAAGTAATTCTCTTTCTCCTAAAATTTAGAGAATTTTTATTTGGAACAGGATGCGGTGCTCCCTTTAAAATGATAAAATGAGCGCTCACAAACAAAACTAAATCACAGATAGATATATCTTAAGTAGTTCAATTTAAGTTTACCATATCAAAATAACAGAAATTTGCCGGTCCTTGTAGTGATGATACCGACGACAAAAATACCATGCAAACGTTCAATATGACTTTGACTAATAAAAGTTGTACAAGTAATTGTAGACTTGAAATATTAAAATAACTTACTATTTGAAAAACCAAACACCCCGCGTTTTTCAAAATTCTTGCTTTTTTTCAAAAGCTTAAATTTGAAACGTGTGATAATTTTGCATGGCTTTATTTTCTCGTTGAAAATGTAGAAAGTCATCCTTCTACTGTTATGTCTGTTTCTTGTATTGAGATTTACTAATTTGATTTTCCTCAGGCAATATGTTTTAAAGTAATGAAGCAAGGTATGTTACGTGCGGTTGGTTTGAATGATGAACTTAAGTATAGGCTTTAGTTTGATTGTATTTATTTATATTGATTAGTAGCGTAAAAGTAAAATACTGGTGTGCAAGAAAAGAAAAAGTAGGGAAAGAGCGAATATAAAGATAGGAGACGATAAATTAGAAGTGGCTGATTTTAGATATCTAGGAAGTCACATAAGTCAGGACGGAAGAACTAGTAAGCATATAAAGCAGAGGATAGCGCAGGGTCGTGTCACCTTTAATAAAAATAAGTCACTTCTATGTTCGCGAACGGTTAATTTAGAAATTCGGAAAAGATTGTTAAAGGTGTATGTTTGGAGCGCGGCGTTGTACGGGTGCGATACATGAACAGTGGGTGCGGCGGAAAAGAAAAGGTTAGAAGCCTTCGAAATGTGGTGTTATAGACGAATGATGAGGATAACGTGGGTAGAAAAGGTTAGAAATGAAGAGGTATTAGAAAGAATAGGAGAACAGAGGACTCTATGGAAGTCAATAAAAAATAGGCGAGATAGGTTGGTAGGACACCTTCTCAGGCATGAAGGTCTAG